ATAAATTGAACGACATTTGTTCTAATGTTTAACGTCACGAATGCTAGAAGCCGTTATTGTTCATGAACATATTATCATTATTATTATTATTATTATTATTATTACTGTTATATTATAGTTGTTATTGTTTTTAATGAATAATCTAACACTAACTCTACGAGTTCTTAACTGCATGGTTAGCATTTTTTGTTTTTTACAAGCACTTTGTTAAAAAAAATTTTTTTTATTTTTCATTTAAAAAAGAAATTAAGATTTCTGAATGTGAACACACTTATTTATTACATATACACACACATGCACTCTTCTTTATATGTAAATAAGTCGAATTTTCTATCTTACTGCTTAATTTATGACTGAATTGATTTTGTTTTGCTTTACTCCTTATTCTTTATTCTATAGAAAAATTGCAGTTTGCAAGTATCTGTTGTTGTCAAGGTTGTTTTTTCTTGGTTGCTGTCTTAGAAAATGAAACACCAGTGTATCGGAGGTTTTCTTTTTTTACTTTTTAAAGAACATTTCTTTTTTTTTCGGTTTTTTTTTTTCTTCTTGTTTAAATTTTTATTTTATTTAATTTGTATTTATATTGCATTTTTCTTCTTTTTCTTTTTTGTTTTCTTTTTGCTGTGAAAAATAAGTTTTTGTTTTCAGTTCAGCTTGTTTTGTTGCTGTTTTGTATTTTCATTATTGTTAATATAGATATACGTATATATATATATATATATATATATATGTATATATATACTTTTTTTTTTTTTTTAGTCTGTTTTCTTACTACTTAAAATATTTTTCTATAACTCTCCTTTAGAGCATAGTTTTCTATCATTTTTTTTTTTTTTTTTTTTTTATATAATATTTTTCTTTTTTTTTTTTTTTTGTTTATAATTTTTCTCATCTCTTACTAAATACATTTACAAGGTTTTATGTACAGATTGTTGACCCAAAAAGTTGAGAAAAAAATGTTTTGCTCCGAGTTATGTATACAACTAAATATGTTTTTATGCATGTTTGCTTCTCATTTCTCCTTATTTTTTATTTTCTGTTTCGTATTTATTTAACCGAAAAACATAAAATATCGTGTAATTATTTTTAGTAATTTCTTAAAATTTTTCTGCGAATCCTTCTTCCGACATATAATAATGGATAATTCCTTCTAAATATTCTTAAAGGAAATTTTTGTTTTACAAGTATTTATGGGGTTTTTATGTATATATGTGTGTACGTTTGCGTTTTTTTTTTTTTTTGTATCAATTTATTTTACAATTAAATGTTCAAGCTCGTACCAAAAAGAGAATATTTTATACATTTAAAAAATTTGTTTTTGTTTTAATTTTTTCTTACAAACTCTTGTTTCGTGTTTCATATATTACGCATTAAAATTAGCACACACACACACAATGAATACTTAATAGCAATAAGTTCTTAACTCAAATACGAAAACAATCAAATATTAAATAAAACATTCTCAAGAAGACTGACTAGTCATCATAGTTGCATACATGTAAGGCAAAGTTCTTATACTCACACCACTGAAGAAAGCTGATCTTAAATACAAATTTTCCCAGTTTCGTTTTGCTTTTCTCTTTTTCTCTTTGACATTTTAAACCGTGCAATTCTACCATACCACCATTTCAAACGGTCTCTATAAGTCATTGCCATTTTTCATGAACAACCGGACACGATTACGGCGATTACTTATGGTAAACCTAAGAGGCGCAATATTTCAAAGCTATATACATATATATATATATATATATATATATATATATGTGTGGCTATGGCTCATTTCCGAGAAATGAACCCCGCTGCGACAGACTGCCGCGTTTCGTTGCGCATCGCAATTGAAAGATTTTCAGCCCTCTTCGCAGAATGAACATAGCCTCTGTGGAAATAGCCGTCAGACTAAAAGTGATTAGTCTTTTCGAAGATCCGAGCGTTACGAGTGAAATTGCAGGCCCTCAACGAGAATCTTTGGTGTGGGGAAAATTGCAAAATATTTTGCTAATTGGGGTCTTGCACGCATACCGATAAAACTTTTATACTCTTATTTCCATCTGATGTAATCTGATGTAATAGTTATCATCAGTTTGGTTCCAGATTCGAACCCTTCAATTAAAGCACATAGACTGCTCTCTCTCTCTCTCTCTCTCTCTAACTCAACTTGTAATGAATAAATTTCAATTTCAAGTTTTCTTGTCAACAAATTAAGCAAAGATTTGCACTAGAGATTTTGATGGAAAAAGCGCAGCAAAAATGTTTCGTAGAATAGTAAAATATTAAAAATTGATTTATTTTGCCATGATTATTGGAAACACACACACACGCTCTCACGGCATAATACAATTTATAAAAAGCAATAGCAGCTTAAGCGTTAGTTGAGTAAAAATAAACATAACAAAAAATGTCACTTAAAGTGATTGCATTTTGCCAATACCGAGACATGTTAACATATGTTCGTGCACTCACTTCAAGGAGCAAAGTCTTAAGAAAATCCTGTCAAGCTCTTTATCATAGTAAATAGTATCTATGTGCGCAGTAGATTGATTGACTTTCGACTTATTAAAGTAGACAACAGACTGAAGTGCCAAGTTCGTGTTTTGCTTTTCTCGCTAAAAAGATGGACTGAACTTTACTTTTTTAAATTACGGTTCTATCCTCCCCTCCGTCCTTGAAACTCATTATCTACTTATCTTATTTTATCGTATTTATATTTAGATCGTGCATAAGCACGAAGAAGTATTGCTTGAGCCAGAGCGGAGCATTTTTCGAATACGTTTACCTACAAATTGTTTTATGTAAACAAAGGGAAAGAAATTCGAGTCGAATATTTAGATAAGTCAGTTTTAAAGAAAATGCCATTGTGATTGGAAAAGATTCACTTTAAAGGATTCAATTTTTTCCCCTTTTTTTTTGCAACCATTAGCATTTTTCGCATTCAGAAGGCTCGGATTGCGCATCCTGCATATAACTTAGGGTATAAAATTCAGAATTAATTCAAATTTATTGCCCATTATAAAATCATTGTAAGTTCGATTCGATATCTATTAGTATCTACTGCCAGCTCTGTGGGCGTTGTCTGTGTATTAGATAGAGCGAAGATTCATGCAGTCGTTAAATTGGGCATAAGTCACGTCATATGTAAGATACATTATAAAGGTATAGATCTTGCACGATTTAGCTGCATTTCTTAGGCATTATACCTACTTACGTGGTTTGTCCTACTTAAAAGCGGTTGTGTGAACCGGTTTCATTGATTTCTGTACCGGATATATGATTCGCGATATCGAGTATGCTACTCGAACGAATAGCATATCTATCATTCATTCTACGGTAAGAAAAATGCATATTTTATGGCGAGTCTATAATCCGCACTCGATACTGAGAATCACAATCCGACCCCTCTACTTACCGACAGTAATAAAAACGAATTTGCAAGTAGGATCAAGAGACACTTCAATAAATACAGTTAGCAAGAGTATGTGCGCAGTGTAAGGTATCGGTATGCATAACGAGAATTTGGATTATCTAGTACACAATACTCTGCAGTCGACACATGAAAAAATAAGTAAATAAAAAAATTGAGAAAACTTATGTAATTATATTATAAAAAAATAGAAATGCCGTTGGCCACCATTTGATCATTTAAGAGAAAGAGAAAAAAAATTAGTAAAAATTATAGTTTTTAATACGAATGACTGAGAGGGAGCATGTATTGCGCGTTTTATGGCCATTGCGAGTTAATATTGTTTCACTTTCACAGCACACTTTAAAGCGTTTTCGCGAATTCACCTTAAGCGCATCGATTAGAAAAGTTTCTGTGTTATCGTCATGTAGGTGCGAGAAAACTGAAAAAATCTTCTGCGCTCTTGAAGGGAAAATTTTTAAATTTTCAAGTCCTGGTATATAGAAAATTTTGGAAATCTTTTAGTCTTCTTTAGTTAGTTTTTTAGGTTAGTTAGTTGTAAAGGTTCGGAAGAGAAGGCATAAAAAATGCATGACAATTAAAACAACGTGCATATGTATATTATATATATTTATAAGTATAAATTTTTAGGCGCTTGCCAAAGAAAATTACGCCAGACGTTGAGTTTGCGAACAGAAATAGTTTTTGCTATCTAAAGAAAATTTTTCATAAGCTCTTATCTGCTTTTGAGTGCAGTTTACATTCATATAATGCACATTATGAACTTTTCACTATTTGAGAGCTAAGTCTACGTACAGCGTACAGCGTACAGCGTACAGCGTACAGGACTGAGAGAATGTTGGAAGAAAACCAAACGTTTATATACGTATTAGTGTTGAAATATTAAGCAGTCGCAGTAGTTAAGCATTTTCTTAAACAGCGAATTAAAGTGAAAATAGTAGAAATTATATTTAAGTTAATTAAAAATTGGTTTTGTTGCAAAGTTCAAACTATTCTAAGTTTTATTTGCTTTCTTTCTTTTATATTTTCGAGCTGTCTATTCATTTTTGCTTTCTTCCCTTTTGTTGTTGTTTTATTATTATTATTATTATTATTATTTTATTTATTTTGTTGTGTTCTTTTTTTTTTTTATATTATTCACTTAAACTGCATTTTCTTCAGTGTAGTACAATTATTTAATATCAGCGCATATTTACATATTTTCGTCATCTTTATCTTCATTATCTTAATTAAAATAATTAATTAATATTTAAGATTTTAAAGGGACAATTGTGTGGTGGATTTCATTTAAGGAAACTAATCAATCTTAAGGCGAAATGAAAATCAAATCATCATCATCATCATCATCATCATCATCATCATCATCATCAGAAAATGAAACTGACGTCGTGCAAGGAAAGCAAACGTTACGCTATCTAATCAAATGCTTATGTTACATATCTCTTAAGAAAATTCTTACTGTCTTTTTGTTTTATTTATTTATTTATTTATTTATTCATTTATTTTTATTTTTTATTTTTTGGTTTCTTTCAATTAAGCTATTGATTGATTGATTGTATGTAAAAGAAGGTTTTTGTAAATGAAATGTTGCATTGTTGCGTATTAAATTAAAATCTAACCGTTTGGCTTAAATTTAAAATAAATACTTAAATATGGCCACGTGCTAGTTTGTTATGATATCTGTAAACTTAACCTACCTGTGTACCGCAAACTATAGCAAGTAACAGCAGTAAAAGATGAAAATTTACAGAGATTGTTGCTGCCGCACCGACTGGCAAAATTTGCACATTACTACTACGTGCGTCCATAAGGTCGCGCGACAACGGCAACTCTGTGGGATCACTTAGCTCATCATGGCAGGGTAATAATGCAGGCTTCAAAATGAATAAACGCACCTTGAAGCCCAACGGTTGCTTAGGCAACATATCAATGTTGTCTACTTGATTTTCATGATTAGCATTTAAGACATCATTGTCATGCTGCTGGAATAAAGAATTTTGTTTGCTGATCAGCTGCAATTCATCTCCCATTCGAAGCGCATCGTCGTAGTAATCGTGGGGACCATTGCCATTATCTGTTCCTCCAAATATATAATGACTTTCGATAGTAGCTTTATTGTTACCACTCGCAATGCTGCTGCCACTGCTGCCACTGCTACTGCTACTGCTGCTGCTACCGCTGCTACCGCTGCTGC